GCTGCGAAACCTGGCCGCTGAGAGCTGAGGACATCCGTCAATTGGAGATCTTCGGTCACTGGTGTCTCCGATTCATCCTGAAGGTAAACTGGCGAGACAGGGTCTNATCGCAAATACAACGCCGCCGACTGCAATGGCTGGGCCATGTTCTCCGCAGACCCGACGACACTTTTACGAGTATTGTCTTGGCTCCGACACCATGTCCTGGCTGGCGCCGCCGACAAGGGGGGCAATTAAAAACCTGGCTGGATACCGTATTCGAAGACGTCGACCAACTTGGCCTCCGGATGGTGTACGGCACTCGCAGATGGAAAACAAACTGGATCGATGTTTGCAAGGATCTTGCAGCCGACAGCCAAGCATGGATAGCGGCCATCAGAGACATTCATGAAGCCGGCTTATCCTTTCCAAGGAGCCAGCCGTAGTAAAGTAAAGTAAGTAAGTAGCTAAATGTGATTCTTCAGCCCAACTACAGCCCGGGATGTTGACTTTTCTTTCTCTCATTTTTGTGGTATTACACGAGAGATGATGATAGTCATTAGCACCTCGTTATCCAGTGCTTGAAGAGTTACACTACGTGATGTGAAAACAAGACCTCATCCACTCTGGGAGAGACTAGAGCTTTTTCGGGCTTGTTTTACTGTTGATTTTTATTGCGTTTAGTTCAACTGTGTTTCTGAATTTCCCTGTGGCGATTCCATTTTTACTTCTCCCTTTTTTTTTTACCTCTATTCGTTTTAGAAATGAAATCCATTTTTCGATTAGGCTGTTGACAGATCATCATGATCACGAAACCCGAAGACCGCGCACGGGCTCTTTTGAGGTGAGCAATTTTACGGTGGCCTCATTTCTCCTCCTCTTATTTGCTCTCGCACAGAGGCATTTCAGATTGCACTAAACGACTGGAAAAAATCTACTCTAATGACAAGGCCATAAAAACAGTTTTCAGCTATGAAGCATATGGGCACCGATTGAGGTGACTGTAATTTAATTTTTTTACTTGCCCAAACAGACTAAAAGAAATGTTGCA